GGGGGGGGGGGGCCGATCCTGGGGCTTGAACTCAGGGCCAGGCTCTGTCCCTGAGACAGACTGTATTCAAGGCTAGCACTCTAGCACTTGAGCCATGAGTAACTTCTGGCTTTTTCTGAAGTAGTTTATTGGAGATAGGAGTCTCATGAACTCTCCTGCCTAGGTTGGCTTTGAACTGCAATACTCAGATCACAGCCACCAGCTGAGCCATCAGCCCTCAGCTCAAGTCTTCCCTTTCATATATCATACTTCCTTTCTCCCTCTGCATATACTCACTTACCAAAATCCCATCCCTGGTTAAACTAATTCTTCCCTTTCATATACCGTCCTTCCTCTTCTCTCCCTCTACATATACTCACTACCAAAATTCCATCCCTGTTTGAACCAACTCTCTTCCTATCAACTGGAGGGGCAGGGAGACCACCATACTGTCAGATCTTACTATTAAGTGATAACCACTCATAAAAGGTAGACTCATTACAATTCCTTAGTCAACTCCCTCATTTTTCTACAGTCTAAGATGTAAGATCTGGATGATCACTTCACTTCTTCCTTCTTTAAGACTCTAACATCTCTTCCTAACACTTTGACCTATCTTGCTTGCCTATCAAAATTGAAAAATCAAAAGAAAAACTCTTCCCACAAATATCGATCTACTTGCAAATATACTTCATCCCCTACATTCTCTTCTTTTACAAAGAACTAGTTGGCCCATTCTTGTATCTAAGGACAATTCCTCCACTTGGACATTGGACCTCACCCCTTTGACTATTCAAGGGCAGGTACTCTACCCCTAGTTTTCCCTGTTCCTCCTGCATTACAACATGCTCTCACTCTATCGGATCATTCCAAGAATATGGAAAAGCACTGAAAAACCTATCTTAAGGAAAAGGAGGGATAATCTCATGATTCTACATCTTTCAGCAATGATGTCATTTTTTTTCTTCCTTTACATTGAAACTCCAAAAATTTGCAAGTGCTAAGCCACAATTCACTCCAATCAGGCTTTATCTGATCTCTCCTCTGACCCTTGTCAAGATCACTAGTAACTCTCCTTGCCAAATCCAATGGTCAGTTCTCAGTTCATGAACAGCTGCACAGCTGTCATCACTTCCTCCTTGAAATTTTTCACTTGGCTGAAGAAGGGGCAGGAAAGAAATCAGAAAAGTGACAGTCAGGGACATGAGTCAACATGCTATGAAACAGATTTAGTTGAATGGGGTTTGTTTTGTTTGGTGTGCATGTTTTTTTTTTTCTTCTCTGGAGGGAAAAAGGAAAGCAAGATGTTAAATTCAGTTTCAGACCTCAAGTTTAAGGGTGTAAGGATAGCATTCAATCCTTTTTTTTTTGGGGGGGGGAGTGGTTGTGGGGCTTGAACTCTGGGCCTGGGTGCTGTCCCTGCACTCTTCAGCTCAAGGCTAGCACTCTATCGCTTGAGCCACAGCGCCACTTCCAGTTTTCTGGTGGTTAATTGGTGATGAGTCTCACAGACTTTTCCTGAGCGGGGTGGCTTTGAACTGCGATCCTCAGATCTCAGCCTCCTGAGTAGCTAAGATTACAGGCATGAGCCACCCAGCTCAATCCTAATTCTTTACACATTTGGCGAATGACCAACTTCGAAAGAGCTTCATGCAAGTGCAGTGAAGCAATCAATGCTCACCAAGCCCTGGCCTACAGAAAAAAGAAAAAAATTAGACTGTGATTACAGGCCTGAGATTACCACTTCTAATTAGTAAAGACCAGTGACTAGTAAATGGGAGACAACAACAACAAAAAAAAAAAATCAGGATAACGATGATGGTGGTGGTTGTAGTTAACATTTACTACTCATGGATACCTGCTAAACAGTACAAATGGATTTTCATGTGCAATCCTATTTTTATGAAATAGGAATTTCAGGGGTCTCAAGTTTATATATGGGCGCTGAAACAGTTGCTTGTTCAAAAATCAAATAACTATTAAAGAGCAGGTCTAAGATTTGAGGATAGGGCTTAAGGATCCCAAAACCGAAGCTTGCTGGTTTTCTTTTGGGGGGAGAATGATGGGCTGCTGGGAAATAAAGCCAGGACATCCTAAATCTTTAGCACACTCGCGAAATACAACCCAATCCAAATCTCAGGCTTTGTGAGCAAATCTTTATACTGCTTCTTGAAAGGAAAAAAAAAAAAAGCAGGAAACTTTAAATTGGATGAGGGCCCATTAGCACCCTAGATTGACTAGGAAATGCTGTCAAAAGAAGCAACAAAACACATATATACCAGACATTCTTCTAATTTAATGACAATTACATTACGGTCTTCCATTTCACTCAACAGTTTTCTCCTTGACAGGTCTGGACATATGCACCGATTCAACTGAAAACTGGCAGGGATTGTAAGATTTGTTGACTACAGGCGCTGAAATTGTTTTCCTAGTCTCCATTACTCCATCAGAACTCTCTGAAAGCAATCTTACAGAAAGGCCTGGAGCAGGCCGGGCTCTACCACAACTCCCTTGCAGTAGCGCCAGGCGAACGAACCGATAAAAAGTGACTTGGTGCGTGCCCAAGCTCGGGCCCAACAAGGCTTCGCTAGCAAAGGCGGGAGGAGCCCCAAGGCTCTGGGTCAGAGGACCCCGGTTCCAGATGGGGAAGCGACCCTAACAGCTTGGCCTCGCTAAACCCACGCCTAACCACCTGGCCCGGTCCTCCCGCCGCCGGGCCCGCAAGGGAGCGGGCGGGACAGGGCCCAGGGCAGTCGTCACCTTCAGGAGACATCCTCTGTCATAGTGCTCGCAGCCCCGAGGCCCGCGCTCCTGGCTGCCGACGCCATCTTCCCGCGTCGCCGCCGCCATCGCCTCCACCTCCCCTCACGTTCCAAAGACCCTTCCCCCAGGTTGAAAACCACGCCCGGAGGAAGCAGCGCGGCTCTAAACCCCCGCCTCGGCCTCGGCCTCCCCCTCCGCCTCCCCCTCCGCCGCCACGGTGCCGCCGCTACCCCGGCCGGAATGGCCGCGGAGCACGTGACCCGGGGCGACCGGATATCCGGTTCCCGGGGCGACGAGACGGAAGTGGCCGGGGACGCCAATCTCCGTGGTCGCTGCGAACGGTAATAACTCTTTAAGTTGGTTCTTCTTTCACCAGCATCGCTGCCATCCCGGATCCCGGAGCGTGGGTGTTTTCGGGACGAGGAGGAGGTGCCCGACGACCTCTTACGGAAGTGTGGGTCTGACCGCTACGGCCGGGAGAGTGACGGCCCCACCCCCGCCTCGGGGCCGGAAGAAAAGGGGCGGAGCCTGCCGCCCTGCGGGCCTGCAGCCTGCCACCAGCCTCCCATTCACCACCCATTCACCTCCCAGTCCCCCAGTCAAAGTATATCCTAACCTTTACCCATCAACTCAGCCGTGAGGACAAGAAGTGAGGGGGGGGAAATTGAATGCTTTCCATACTCTATGAAACTCACATTAATCAGAGACCTCACTGCAGTAAATGTTAAGATTACAGCTGGGATTAATGCTCATAAAGACCAGTGTATTCGGAGAGAACCGATACTAGAAGGGATCTGACCATCTTAAGTGTCAAGGGAAAAGTTTCCCCGGGGACAGCAGACACTTGTGAAAGATGAGTCTCAGATGGTATGCCTCAAGGAGTTAGTGCACCCAGTCCTGTCACAAAGAGAATCTACTACCTGGAGATGGAAGGGAAATGCACTACGAAATTGAAATCTTACACCTCAAGGTGCATAGCCAAATATATCCTTAGGAAATTCTATGGGCTAAACTACAGGCTTGTCCTTGGCTTTAGCTTTGAGGTTACTAATAGTTTCCTATTTTAATTTTCTTTCAGCTCTGTTATGAGTTGCTAAAACCATGGTGAAATGTTGTTCGGCCATTGGATGTGCTTCTCGCTGTTTGCCAAATTCCAAGTTAAAAGGACTGACATTTCATGTGTAAGACTTTGCTATAATTAAGCCAAGAACTTTTAACTCTCATAAAAAGTGAACAGTTCTGCTAAACTCTTCAGCTTTGAACTTAAGTTCTCAAGTACTTTTTGTTGTTGTTGGTCATGGAGCTCAAACTCGAGGTTTAGGCACTGTCCCTGAGCTAGTGCCCTATTTTAGTGCCCTATCACTTTGAGCCACAGCACCACTTCTGGTTTTTCTGGTAGTTAATTGGAAATAAGAGTCTCACAGACTTTCCTGCTTGTCCTGGCTTTGAACTGGGATCCTCAGATCTCAGCCTCTTGAGTACCTATGATTACAGGTATGAGCAACTAGCTCCCGGCCTCAAGTACTTTATAAATTTGTTTAATTTGTTAAATTTCTGTTTTATTTTATTTTGTTAATTTATTTTTTAATTTTTTATTATCTTTAAGTAGTTGTACAAAGAAGTTCCCATTCAACAAATTCTTTGTTAAATTTCAAGTGACAATGATACTTTTTTTTTTTTTGGGTAGTCTTGGGGCTTGAACTCTGGGCTTGGGCACTTTCCCTCAGCTCTTCAGCTCAAGGCAAGCGCTCTACCAGTGGGAGCCACAGCTCTACTTCCAGTTTTCTAGTGGTTTATTGAAGATAAGAGTCTCATGGCCTTTCATGCCCGGGCTGGCTTTGAACCATGATCCTCAGATCTCAGACTCCTGAGTAGCTAGGATTACAGGCATGGGTCACCGGGGCCCAGTTACAATGATACTTTTATGTGTGTAGTTTTTAAGATTCCAGACAAGTAATCAAAGACTAATAGCAACAAAAGGCAAACTCGGGGCTGGGTAGGGTAGTTTATACCTATAATCCCAACTGTTAAATTGACAAAGCTGAGGAAGATGGTGGTTAATGAGCCTCCAAGATGTTGGCATGTGCCTTGTCATTACCAACCAGATGGGAGGTCTAAGTTGGAGGATCTCAGTCAGGCCTGGTAGGATAAAACAAGCTAGACCCTACTTGAAAAGTAATTGATGCAAAAAGGACTGGAGATGTCACTCAAGTGGTAGAGCACATGCCTAGCAAGCCTGATGGCTTGAGTTCAAACTCAAGTACCCCCTCTAAAAAAAAATCTTTTGTTTGCTATCATTATTACTTTGTATTTTTACATTGTATCTTCTTTCTTGAGAAAACAGTGTTGTTTACACACACACACATATTACAATCTGAAGGATCCTTGCTCATATATTTACTTGTCTTTTCTATTTAGAAATGTATCAAGCACATGTTGTGAAATATGAGTTATTTAGCTAAAAATGCAGATAAGCCAAGATGTTCCTAATTTAGTATTTTAGCCAGTCCCCTGATAGCCTTAGGAGAGAATGGGATTTATAAGTGTTCATTTTTGCTACATATTTTGTACCAAGCACTCTATTATATGATAAAGATCTGCAAGCCACATTGTTAAATATGTGAAATAAAAAGTGAGTGTGTATATACTCTACCACATTCCAAAAAAGATTTACACCTGCTTAGAAAATTGAGAAAGATAGTTATTGACCTCCAGATCTTCAAAATAGTTGTGTCCAGAGCTCAGGACTCTGCAGCTCTTGAAGGCATTCATTCACTAGGCATGTCTAACATGCTGTGTATTAACTGCAGCCATCACCTCAGATAAGAAAAAAATCAAATGATAACTTTTGCCATCTATAGATGAAGGAAACCATTCAATTGTGGATTTTTTTTTGGGGGGGAAGGGAGGAGGGAACTGGTCCTGTGCCTTAAACTCAGGACCTGAGCAACTGAGCCTCTTTGTGATCAAGGCTAGTGCTCTACTATTTGAGATCCAGTGCCACTTCTGGCTTTTTGTGAGTAGTTTATGGAGATTTGAGTCTCACAGACTTTTCCTGTGCAGGCTGAATTCAAACCACAATCCTCAGATCTCAACCTCCTGAATACTTAGAATTATACATATGATCTACCAATGCCCAGCTGTGGATTATATTCCTTTTTTTTTTTTTTTTTGCCAGTTCAGGGGCTCGATCTCAGGACCTAGGCACTGTCCCTGAGCTTTTTTCCCCCAGGGCTAGCACTCTACTGCTTGAGCCACAGCGCCACTTTCGGCTTTCTCTGTTTATGTGGTACTAAGGAATCAAACCCAGGGCTTCATGCATGCTAGGCAAGCACTCTACCACTAAGCCACATTCCCAGCCCCTGGATTGTATTCTTTTTTTTTTTTTGGATTGTATTCTTAAGGTGAGAAATGTCTCTTGGTGATTTCCTTCCATAATATGAAAAGAATTTAAATGTCTAAAGAGTACTTAGCAAAAACACAAAAAGAAATCTGACTTTTAAAACCAAGTTACACAAGAAGGATTTATATTTTTTCTGAATATCACAGTTCCCAAAAGAATCGTTTTAGACCAGTCATACAAAAAATACTTAATTTACATATATATGAATAGTATCTGGTTTTTAAATATTTAATTTTTTTCTAGATTCCCCACAGATGAAAACATCAAAAGAAAGTGGGTATTAGCGATGAAAAGACTTGATGTGAATGCTGCAGGCATTTGGGAGCCTAAAAAAGGAGATGTTTTGTGTTCGAGACACTTTAAGAAGACAGATTTTGACAGAAGTGCTCCAAATATTAAATTAAAACCTGGAGTCATCCCTTCTATCTTTGATTCCCCATATCACTTACAGGTTTGTTTATCAGGTACTACTTACTGTCAATATTTACTTTCTGTGGTACATTGAAGAATCTCCAGCAAGGTACCCTTGGCTATATTTTATTGTTTGTTGACTAGTTTGAAGTGTATTCTTTTAAGCTTTTATATATATAAGTTTTAGTTCTGATGTACAAATATTTTACCAGTAACTGCTCAGAAACATTGGTGCATTACTAAGGTTTTATAAAGTGGATTGACTTTAGGAATTGACATAACAAGATTTGTGTCTAAAAACTGGAGGTGCCAGGAGCTAGTGGCTCACGCCTGTAATCCTAGCTACTCAGAAGGCTGAGATCTGAGGATCACAGTTCAAAGCCAGCCCAGGTAGGAAAGGCCATGAGACTCTTATCTCTAATAAACCACTAGAAAAACCAGAAGTGGCACTGTGGCTCAAGTGGTAGAGTGCTAGCCTTGAGCTCAAGAGCTGAGGGACAGCACCCAGGCCCAGAGTTCAAGTGCCATGGCCGACAAAAAAAAAAAAGAAAGAAAGAAAGAAACTGGAAGTTAACATAAGGTTGAACAGAAGTTCTAGGATGCCAGGCTTCTTGAGAATTCAAGAGCTAAGGTTCCGATAGGACGAAAGTATACTTCTAAGAACAGTCACATGCATACAAGTTTGAAACGTAGTAGGACCAAAAGACAGAAAACTGAAAGAGAAAATATGAATAAGAGGGAAGAAAAGGGAAGCCGGTGGGTCATGCCTATAATCCTAGCTACTCCAGAGGCTGAGATCTGAGGATTGCAGTTCAAAGCCAGCCTACACAGGAAAGTTCATGACTGTTCTCATCTCTAAGTGATAGAGTACCAGCCTTGAATGAAAAAGTTAAGGGCTAGCACTCCAGGCCCTGAATTCAAGCCCTAGTACCATCACAAAAGAGGCCAAAGAAAATAAAATAGAAAGGTTGAATAAGTAAACCTAGTTGAATTCTTTTTTCTCTCAGTAATAGTGCCATAGATTGGCTGCTTTACCTCAGTCTGTCTTTAACTTCATATATCTAAGCATGTACTCGCATCCAGCAACTGTAGACTGGTTGATGGATTCCAATGTGGAAAACCTAAGGTGAGCCAACATTAAGATCATGTCCTCCTGACAGTTATAAGCACGAGAAGTGGTCTAGAAGTGTACCTACTACAGCTGTCTTTGTCACTCATGCAGTATCTAAGTGATTAAGTCAAGACCACTTCACTTTCTTCCCTATCAGTAAATGTGCAGTTTCTCTGAAATTAGCTTTAAAGGATTCTTTTTCTACCAGTAAAGTATTTAGCTGTAATGTAAGGAAGATCTTAATAAATGTGGGCATAACTAAGCAGAACTATTTCCTTACAACAAATTTTTCATTATAAGAATTTGGACAGCCGGGCACCAGTGGTTCACTCCTATAATCCTAGCTACTCAGGAGGCTGAGATCTGAGGATCACAGTTAAAAGCCAGCCCAGGTAGGAAAGGCTATGAGACTCTTGTCTCCAATAAACCACTAGAAAAACAGAAGTGGTGCTGTGGCTCAAGCGGTAGAGCACTCACCTTGAGCTAAAGAGCTGAGGGACAGCGCCCAAGCCCCAGAGTTCAAGCCCCATGAATGACCAAAAAAAAAAAAGAACTTGGATAATAGAATTAAAAATAAAATGGGGCTGAGAAGTTGGCTCAGTGGTAGGGCACTTGCCTTGCATGCATGAGGCCCTGGGTTCGATTCCTCAGCACCACATAAGCAAAAAGAAAAAAGCCGGAAGTAGCGCTGTGGCTCAAGTGGTAGGGCACTAGCCTTGAGCTGAAGAGCTGAGGGACAGTGCCCAGACCCAGAGTTCAGGCCCCACAACCGGACCCAAAAAAATAAATAAATAAATAAAAATAAAAATAATAGGCCAATGCAGAGCTAATACTGTGTGCACTTCCATATACAGCTTTCTAATGATTTGTATGTTTTATATAAATTGATCAATATTTATGTAGACAATTTTATAATATTAGAATTATACTGTATAATCTTTGCCTTAGTTGCTTTTTCCGGTTTTACTTTTTTTTGTTTGCTTTTTTGTTTTTGTCAGTCATGGGGCTTGAATTCTGGGCCTGGGTGCTGTCCCTGAGCTCTTCAGCTTAAGCCTAGCATTCTACTGCCAGCCATGAGCGCGGCTAGATTTTACATTTTTACATTGATGGTAGTAACTTGCTATGTTTTGGGCATTATAAGCATTGTACACACATAATAGCTCATTATTGAAACAACTATATGAGGTAAATGCTCTTCTCATTTTTATTACTTAAGCAGGGTGGGAAGCACCCAGCCCTATGGCCTTATAAGCCCTACAAAACCAGTCAGTGTGTGATAGGACAGACACATATGCCCATGATGGCTGCCCATGATCCTCTGTCTGTATTGAAAATTTTGTACGGCCTTCAGACGATGTTATAAATACCCAAATAGCCCTTGCCACAGAAAACAGTTTCTACTCCTGATTTAAGAGGTCTGAGGTCCAGCATACACAGCTATTAATGTCAGAGGCCAGATTCAAATGAGGCCTTTTGACTCCTTAGTCTACTGTTAACTACTCCTGTCCATGACATTGAATATTTTTCACAACAATGGCCTACAAATTTTAGGCTATATAAGAATTTCTATTAAACCAGGCTCCGGTGACTCACGCCTAGAATCCTAGCTACTCAGGAGGCTGAGTGCTGAGGATCACAGTTCAAAGCCAGCCTGGGCAGGAAAATCCATGAGACTCTTTATCTCCAATAAACTACCAGAAAACCAGAAGTGGCACTGTTGCTCAAGTGGTAGAGCATTCAATTTGTGCTGAAGAGCTGAGGCCCAGGCCCCAGACTTCAAGCCCCACAAACAACAACAAACAAACAAAGAATTTATTTCAGTGTTTATTTAAAAGATAGACTCATGTGCCCCACTCCTTGAGAACTTGCCTGAGGAATGAAGTTGAATTTGATTCTGTTTTGGTCAGAGGCCCGTGCATCTGTACTTCTTATCAAGCAACACATTATCATATTATGTTGCAGCTCTATGAGCCAGACATTTGAGAGAAACCAACCATGGTTTATTATATATACAAGATATAACTTTTTTTTTTTTTTGGTCGTGGGGCCTGAACTCCAGGCCTAGGTGCTGCCCCTCAGCTCTTCAGCTTAAGGCTAGCACGCTACCACTTGAGCCACAGTGCCACTTCCGGCTTTTTCTGCTTATATGGTACTGAGGAACCGAACCCAGGGCTTCAGGCATGCTAAGCAAGCACTCGACCACTAACTGTAACTGCATTTTCAATTGCAGATCAGACTATCCTTTCTCATTATCACTCTTCAATTTGTGTTTCAAAAATGAATTGTAAGCCAGGTGCTAGTGGCTCATGCCTACAAGCCTAGCTACTCAGGAGGCTGAGATCTGAGGATGGTGGTTCAAAGCCAGCCCAGTCAGTAAACTCCTAGTGAGTCTCTTATCTTCAATAAACTATTCAAAAAAGCCAGAAGTGGCACTGTAGCTCAAGTGGTAGAGCGTCCAGACCCTGAGTTCAAGCTGCAGGACAGGCAAAAAAAAAAAGTGAACTTTAGAGTTGTTCGGGGAAGATCTCTTAAAGTAATCGAAGTGGCATTTACTAATATCTAAAAGCAATTTCCATGAAAAGAAATGTGCTATTTCTACTACACAAACATAATAAGGACTAAAAATTTAAGAAAGGATAAAGTATCTCTATGATTTTTACTAAATATTCTTAACAGGAAAAAAGAGAAAAGCTTCACTATAGAAAGAACTTCACCATCAAAACCCTACCAGTCACAAATCACAATCATCAGGTTGGTGCTCCATCATATACTGAAGAATTCCAATCCCAATTCATTTTTGTAAGTAAAATGATTTATTGAGTTGTTAATACTTTAAGATGAATAATTCTACTCCTTTAGGGTCAAATTTGTAGAAATCTTACAGGAAAAATGACAGATTCAAGTGCTTGAGTTTTTTTTTAATTTGTAATATCTGGAAAAAATACTGCTTTCAAAGTCATTATAATTTATATGAATGCAAAAGCAGTATATAAGTAATTCATCCTTCAGTTACATATTAGTTTGGAGAATGCTTTCTCAAGGATATGTCTACCATGATAATAGTTAATTCTTCCTAGTAAGAATTATGTTTCTGCTAGGCTCCAGTGGCTCACACCTGTAATCCTAGAAACAACTCAGTAATCTGAGATTTGAGGACCACAGTTCAAAATCAGCAGGACAGGAAAGTCCATGAGACTCTTATCTCCAACAAAACACTCAGAAAAGCAGAAGTGGCACTCAAATGGTAGAGTGCTAGCCTTGAGCTGAAGAGAACTCAGGGACAATGCTCAGGCCCAGAGTTCAAGCCCCATGACTAACAAAAAAAAAAATTGTTTCTGTGTAAGAATATCTAATAAAATATACCTATGTCTTTAGAATATCTTGTATAACTCACATACAACATAGAATATCCAAGCTTAGATCTGTTTGTCTATTGCTTATTCATATTAAAACCAGAACTAGAATATAAATCTGTTTTCTTATAGGTTGGGGTTTGTTTTGTTTTGTTTTAACTCTGTTGGCTATTCTAGATTCTTACCATTTTCTACCAAAACAAGCTGGCATTTTAACTCATTTTGTGTTAAGTATTTAGATCTTTAACCTATGTCAGCATTGTTTTATAGTTTTCAGCACACAGGTATTTTACTTTGTCAGATATATCACTTAGTATTTTGTGTTTGGTATCACAAATGGTATTTTGTTTGCTTCTAGAATGTGGAGATGTGTATTGATCTTGTGTCTGTCAATTTACAAAATCAAATATTAATTATAGTAGTTTTTATGGAGAGAATCAGATTTTACTCATAGACTATCATGTTCTCTGTGATTAATGACATATTTTTTTCTTTCTAATCCTTTTCATTCCTCTTTCTTGCTTTATAGTACTGCCTTGAACCTCTGTGGCTATGCTGAATATAAGTATTATTGAGGGCAGATCTCCATGTCTTGTTCCTGATTTTAGGAGGAAGGAAATCTCTTCATGTTAAATATAATTTTAGCCATGAGTTTTTCATAAATTCCTTTTATAAAGTTAAAAGTACCTTTCTGTTCCTAACTGCTGAGAATTTTTATCAGAAATGGACAAATGCTTCTCCTATATTTAGTGATGATATAAATAATCTGAGTTGTATCAATTGTTTTTTTCCAATGTTAAGCCAACATTTTATGCATAGAATGAACCTTACTTCTTGATTTTTTTATCCCTTTTATGCCTTGTTGGATTCAATTTACTAAATTTGTGTTTAATATTTATATGTTCAAGAGGTATTTAGCCTGTATTTAATATATTTGATTTCAATAACAAAATAATACCTCAACATTGAATTGGAAAATGTTGTCAACTACTTGGTTTTCCGGAAAAGTTTGTGTAATGTTACCATTTATTTTACAAACATTTGAAATATTCTTCCAGTGATGATATTTGAACCTTTAGTTTTCTCTATAAGAAAATAATTTTAGTAGCTTGTGTCTTTCCAAGGAATTTCTTGCAAATTCCAAAAAAATTTGACCATTTCATCTTAGTTGTCAAATTTTCTAGATTAAGATAGTTTCTGTGTTTATCGAGGTTTTTTTCTTTTTTTCTTTTTTTTTACCAGTCCTAGGGCTTCAACTCTGGGTGCTGTCTCTGTGCCTCTTTGTTCTTTTGGCTAGCACTCTACCACTTTAGCCACAGTATCACTTAGGGCTTTTTCTGAGTAGTTTTCTGAGATAAGAGTTTCATGGACTTTCCTGCCCGGGCTGGCTTCAAACCAAGATCCTCTGAGTAGCTAGGATTACAGATGTGAGCCACCAGCACCTGGCTTGTATTTATTTTTTTAATACCTTCAATGAATGCTGTCATGTCTCTCACTGTTCATAATTTCTGGTAATGTGTTTCTGTTCTCTTAATATTACTAATCAATCTGCCTAGAGATTTAAAATATTATTGATCTTTCTTTTTTTTTTTGCCAGTCATGGTGCCTGAACTCTGGGCCTGGGCACTGTCCTTCAGCTCAAGGCTAGTGCTCTACCACTTGAGCCACAGCACCACTTCCAGCTTTTTCTGCTTATGTGGTGCTGAGGAATCGAACCCAGGGCCTC